AGTGTCTGGGGGAAGGCGGGTGCTGGCACGCACCGCTGACCGGAGCCAGAGCCATGGGAAACTTTGGACAGTGCCGGTGCCTGGATGCCTGCTCTCTGGGCTCCTCGGTGGCTGCGGGCGGCCCCGGGGGAATGGTGGCAGAGCTGCTGCTCCTTGCTCCAGCTGAAGGTGCTACCCTCACTAGCACAGGTACGGCCCAGCTCTCTAGCAGGGCTGAGCACAGAGGATGGCACCCCTGCCCCGAGCACTCCCCAAGGAACCTTTTTAAGACCATCCAATAAATTTTTTTAAGGAAGCCTGCCTCTTTTTCCTCATGGGGGGTGCTGGTTAGGGGAGGAGAGGGACCCCCACAATTCCCCAACATCAAAAGAAGAGTAAGGGCCTATAGCCAGCAGCACCTTTAGCTGCTCAAGACATGGAAGGGCACTGTGGTCCCCGCCTGAGCTGCATGGAGACCCCCACAACGTTACCAAAACAGATATATTTATTCCTCTGATGCATGGGTTGCCACACACTGTATGCATGTGCACAGGCCTACCCTCTCCACTCACACGTGGTGAGTCTGTCTGTCACTGTCCCTGGCTGCAGCGGAGGCACAGCTTGCTTCCTCCTTCCTGTGGGTGCCAGGAAGAGGGCGGGGGCGCCGGGAAGTTGCCGCAGTGAGGGGTGCCGTCTGCCAGCCCCTGCACTCCAGTCCCAGCACTCAGGGCAGTACTGGGCTCCAAGGGTCCGTGGCATCGGCTGGATGGCTTGGCAGGTTAGCGGGGGCCCGGTCAGACTGTCGGTCAGCACAGGGAGGGCAAGCAGGGCACTCACCTGCCCGGACTCCCCAGCAGAAACCTGTGGGACAGAGATGATGTCATCAGTCATGTCCCCAACAGGCCAGTACCCCAGCAGCTCCAGCCACACGCACTCACCATTCCCCCCGTGCTGCCACTGCCTCCTTCCGCACCAGCCTTTTCTTGTCATCCAAAGGCTTGGCCAGTGCCCGGATAACTCGGGCCTTGTACGGGAGCAGCTGTAGCACAGAAAAGGCTCTTAGTGAGAAAGCTGGGTGCCAGCTGCCCCCCAGGAGGAGGTCTGGGACCCCCTTGCCCCTCTACATGCAGGAGCAGGCAGCTGCAGGAGCACTTACCACTGTCGTGGGCAGGCTGGTAAGCGCGTGGGCACAGCGCAGGGCAGCAATGCGGACAGCCTGGAACAGAGAGGGGTGAGGGTGGCAGAAGGGAGAGGGGCAGAGGGGAGGGGTGTGGGGGAGAAGGAGGGGTGCACGCACCATGGTGGGGCTGGAGGTGAGGCTGAGGAACTTGGTGACCAGCGTGTCGACGTGCAGGCTCATGATCTGGGGAGCTTCGAGCAGCAGCGGCTGGAGGCAGCTCAGTGTGGAGAGCTGCACCACACGATCAGAGCAGGACAAAGCCTCAAGCAGGAGGGAAAGCAGCTGCGGGTGGGGAGGACACAGGAGACGTGAATAACTCCCAGCCGCGCACTCTGCACTGCCACAATCTGTCCCCACCAAGGCTGGCTCTCACCGTGGGCAGCTCTGTCACCAGCACGGGCTTAGGGAGGTGGTTAAGCACATGGGACAGGCCCTTCAGGTAATTGGCCTTCACGTCTGTGGAGAGCAGAGATGGTTACAGGCAGCTGGGGGAGGAGGGGACGCCGGCTCAGGTCCCCTGGGTAAGGCAGTCACAGGGTGGCGAGGCTGGGCTGGGGGTGGCCGCTTACCAGGGCTGGCCCCGTGGAAGCCCTGCACCAGCTTGGGGACGTTGTCAGTGAAGAAGCGCTGGCGGAACATGATGCGCACATCAGCGTGGCAGCCCTTGTGCAGCACATCCGGAGACTCAGCCATAAGTAGGGAGAAGCCGTCGGCTGCGGCAGGGCCCAGCTCCGTGTCACCCAGTAGGCCAAGCAGCTGTAAAGGGGAGAGCCCTGAGATGGGGCACCCTGCTGCTGGGGTTCCCAGGAGGCCATGGAGGGAGCAGGCAGGCTTCTTGAACATTACCCAGTCCCACCACCACCTACCTTATCCGTCAGCTGGGCACTCAGGGGGTGGTAGCGCAGCACCAGGGCTTTGGTAACCTGTGCAGGCAGAGCAGAGTCAGCGCCAGGCCGGCTGTCCCCCCACCCTGCACCCAGGGCGGGCCTTACCCAGAGCAGCAGCGTGAGTGCCTGCGTTCGGTGGGGCCCCTCCACAAGGCCAGGCTCCATCCTGTTCACTGCAAGCTGCAGGATCTCATCCAGCTGCTGCCCTGAGGATATAGAAGGGACAAGCTGAGCCATCCCTCTGCCAGCAGTGGGCAGGGACCCACAGCACCCTGCCCTGCCGCCTTACCCACAGGGTGCTTGTTCACCAGCCCTGCAAAGCACTTGGCAGCTGTGGTGGCCGTGAAGGGGCAGTTGCAGGAGCAGCTCAGCGCCAGCAGCTCCTGGAGCAGCCGTTCCTGCTGCGGAATTGGCACCTGGAAGAGACATGGAGCGTGTTACAACCCAGGGCCACAGCCACTCGCTTCCTCTGCCCGTGGACCCGGGCAGGAGGGCACTCAGTCAGGGCCCCTTCTCCACCCTGCTCCTCACCAACTTACATTGCGGGGTAAGGAGCAAACGAAGGCCATGAGGAGGGCAACCAGGCGTCTCTGTGCCTCCAAGCACTCCCCATCCTGTGGGGAAAGAATAGTGCCCGTGTCACCACAGTCCTTGCTGCCAGCCTGTGCTCAGTCTGAGGACATCCTCAGTCCCTGCTCCTGTTCTGGAACACCGGTCCTGAGCACCCAACACACCTGGAAGGGCTGGAAGGAGCAGGGAAAACTGTTCTGGGGCAGGAAGGAGACCTCTCCGTCCAGGAAGAGGGGCACCACGTGAGACACGCTCTGGGCAGCTAGCCTAGGAGAAAGGAGACATTGCAACGTGCTGCTCTGGGAGGGTCACCAGAGAGCTCCTGGGTACCTCTCAGGAAGTACAGGGTCTCCCTGTACAGACAGCAGCAGGGGACACACAGCCTGACCCCTCCCCACAATGCAGTGCCCGGTGTCCCACCCCAGCACCACTCACTCAGGGCTCAGGTGAGTGGTGGCAGCACTGATGACGGGGACCATGGCAGCCAGCACCTCTTCCTCTAGCAATGCCTTGCCCAGCAGCGGGTGGGTGCTCTCTGCAGGCAGTGGGAGGAAAGGGACACGCTGGAGCCTGCTGCCCAGAGGGAGGAGGCAAGCACAGCCCCACACCGGCCCTGGCCAGGGCTGCTCTGCCTCTGGCAGGGGGCAGCGAGGCCCGCAGTGCCCGCGGTTGCCGGAAGGCGGCAGCAGCAGCGCTGGCTGCAGGATCAGGGATACCGGAGAGCCCGGGGAGCTGCCTGCTCTCCCCTCTCCCACTCCAGACCCGCACCTACCCTGTGTGGCAGCCTGCACGGCCATGCCCAGCAGGCAGGGCACCACTGTCTGATGGTAGTACCAGCAGCCCTCTGCATCCTGCTGGCACTGCAGGGCCAAACGGTGCAGGCTCTGGCACACGGAGACCACGTCTTGGGCGTTCCTGGCCTCGCTCCCTGCGGGGCACAGTCACCGTCACATCACACAGCTGCAGCACCCATCCCTGATCTACACCAGGATCCCAGAGCAATGCAGCTCTCCCTCCTCCCACTCCAGCGGTGGGATTTACAGCCCAGCCCTGGGCCCCTCACACCACTGCCATCCCTGCTCTCTCCCAGCCATCCCTGGTAACGGAGGCAGCTCCTGCCCAGACGTGCTCCGTGGAGCTGCCTGTCACGCGCTGTGCTACCTTTCTGCACCTTCCGGAGATGCTGCAGCAGGACAGGGACGGTCTCCCTCACGATGCTGGTGTGGGTGGACACGGCTGCCAGGGCCTGCAGGCAGCGCTGCTGCAGGGAGCAGTGGTCACGGGAGCTCTCCTCCTCCCACTCTGAAGAGGAAACACACCTCAGAGGGGTGCTGGGGTGACCCCACGCTCCCTCACCCAAGGGCATTCAGGGCCCAGACTGTGCCAGGGTGGATGGGGTGAAGCAGCACAGCAGAACTAGCCCTTGCCAGGCCCAAGGCACTCTGCCTGCTCTGCAGCTGGACAGCTCCTCCTCACAAGGGTGATCCCAGCCACACAGGCTGGTTGCCAGACCCAAGCACGATCTTCCCTGTGCCAGCACCACAGTGCTGGGAATCCCCCAGGAAGGAGAGCCACCAACCTAAGCCGTACAGCACAGCCCCACTGCGTGGTAGGAGCTGAACAGGGATGGGGCAGGCTTCACCCCCAGACCAGACATCACTCCGTTCCCAAGGCCACCAGCCCTACCTGACCGCAACTCCTCTTCAAGCCTGGGTACCATGTGTCCGGAGAAAACCTTCGGGTAGATGGGGGCCAGAGATCCAGCTGCCTCCATTGCTGCTTCGCTGCCAGGGGGAAAAAGAGCAGGAGGGGCGATGTGAGCACTGCAAACCCTGGGCTGCTTCCACCCCAGCTGCACAGATCTGGGCCAGAAAATGCCTCCAAAAAACCATTTCTCAGCAATTTGTCTTTTTCGCCCTACTGGTAAGGCAGAGCAGAGCCCCCCTACTTTGACAAGCCCAGACTTTCTAATTTCCAGTCCATAAATCACCTGGTTTATCCTTTTGCTCTTACACCCACATGGGCTTTTAGTTCAGACAGTTCCTGTGCCTTCCCCCAGACGACAGACCCTCTCTGCAGCGAAGCCAGGCTTTGTTCCTCTCCCCAGAGCGTGGGTGACTGCAGTGGCACCAGCCTGGCCCTCACCTGCTCTGAGAATCCTCCTCATGCAGAGCGAGACGGATGAGGTGATCCACAACCAGCTCCAGGTTGGAGGGAGACAGGAAGCCTGGAACAAGACATGTAGATGAATCCTGCCCTCGGTGAAATGCGAAGCT